TGAAATGTTAAGGCAGAGGACAAAAGAAAGATGTATACAAAAATGTTATAGCAATTATCATAATTATGAACTATTTAAAGACTCCTGAGTTTGGGTTAAAGGAAGAGATGTTTGGTAACATTACATCTATTTGGCATTATATTGAAGCTCCTAGCTAGTTTCTATTTTAATGGAGTCATAACTGGATACATATATAACACAAAAGAATTTCAAATTCTTGGAATTAATACATCTAGTAACTTTTCTGGCTATGAGGTCAATATGCAAGCAATTATTTTAAATCCTGACCACAGACAGTAAGAAAATAAGTTAAACATTTACAACAACAACAAAAAAATCAAATACATAGGAGTAAATATAATGAAACATGTGCAAGATCTCTAAGACTAAAAAGGATCCTAAGAAAAAAGACACCCACAAATGGAGAGCTACCAAATAGAAAACTCAAATTTTCAAAAGGTGGCTTTGGCCCAGTAATTAGTCAATGACACTTAAACAATTCCCAAGTATATTTGTTCATGTACAAACTACTATTAAAGCTATATGAAAATTCAAAAGACCTAGAATTGTTATAACATTTGAAAATACCTCAAAATAAAATCAGAATCTGTATTTCTGACCTGTTATAAAGCTACAGAAATTAAAATAGTATGGAATTGGATAAATAATAAACATGTTAGTGAAATAGAATATAAAATATAGACACACACACACAGAGTACTAATTTGTGAGCATTACAGCTCAGTGGAGGAAATGCTAGTTTTAATACAAATGGTACTGATGAACTGAATGACTAAATGGTAACCTTAACTAATTACTCATATTATACACAGCAATATTTTTAAAATAGAATTGAACTTAGATATGAAATGTAAACAGTAAGACTCTAGAATATAATATAGAAAAATAGCTTCATCTTGGATTTCATAAAGAGTTTTTAAAACAAAACAGATAAAGCACTTTTTAGTAAACTTCTGTTCATTAAAAGGCCAACTTTTAGATAGTAAAAGGTAAGACACAGGGTGGGAAATGATTTTTGTACTATATACATTCAACAAAAGTCTATGTGTGTATTATGCATGTATCAGTCTAAATATATAAATACATATATACAAAGAATTCTATATATCAAAAGAAAATGACAGCATAATTACAAAGAGTAAAAGACTTGACTGTTTTGTAAAAGAGGGCATTGAAAGTAGTCAACAATCATTTTAAAAAGCTCATCAGAGGGCCCTCCCTGGTGGTGCAGGGGGTTAAAACACAGCACTAAGAAGCTAAAGCCACTTCCACATGAGTTCGATCCCAGCCTGCCCCGGAGGTGACCACATGGAACGGCAGACCTCTCCTGACCCGCCCGCTGCTCCCCTCAGCAGTGTACTTCATTGATCTGCCTGTTCTGCTCCCCACTCTGTCTATGGTGAATCCTCTCACCCTCCACATCTCTGGCCTGTACCCCAGTTCTATATGAATAAATAAATAAATCTTTAAAAAAAAAAGCTCATCAGAATCTTTAGACCTTAGGATTATGTGATTGGATTTAGTTCTATGAGATAATGTTATTACATTGCATATCTCAGAATGAACTAAAACTAAAACAAAACAAAAATCTGGTTGCACCAGTTTTTACTTCTACTACTTTAGGAAAGTTAGTACTATTTACCAACAGGAACATATGTATACCTTATTTTATAAGTATTATTTATAATGATTAAATACATTTGCATGATTAAATACATTTGCATTACATGATTGGTTATAACAGCTTTACTTATAATAGCCTCAATCTGAAAACTACCTAAATATCTAACAATAAACTGCATAAATAACCTGATACATATTCACGTAATAGAATATTACCCACCAATAAAAATCATTCTGCAACAAAGGAGAATATCATATACATAATATTGATTGAAGTAAGAAACAAAGATGTAAATACTGTATTATTCCATTCATATAAGATCTAAAACCCACAATACTAATCTATGGTGATAAAAGTCAGAAAACTTTTGTGAAGGTCGGCAACTTAGAGGGAAATGAGGAAGGTTTTTGGGGTTCAAGTGACATAATGTATCTTGATCTGAATGTTATCTACATGGTCTACTCACTTGTAAAACTAATCTAGCTGTACTCTTAAGATGTATTCACCTTTCTTTATGTATGCATTAAAGCTTATCCAAAATAAGTAGACCAAAATAATTTCCAAATGAAAAAAACTAGAGTTGTGGTATTAAAAGTAAGGACTAAGCCCACCCCAGTGGTGCAGTGGGTTAAAGCACAGCACTAAGAATCTAAAGCCACTTCAGCATGAATTCGATCCCCACCTGCCCCGGAGGTGACCACAGGGCGTGGCAGACCTCTCCTGACCTGCCTGCTGCTCCCCTCAGCAGTGTACTTCGTCCATCTGCCTGTTCTGCTCTGCCCTCTGCCTCTGGCAAATTCACTCACTGACCCTGCATTTCTGGCCTGTACCCCAGTTCTGTATGCACAAATAAAATAAATTTAAAAAAAAGTAAGGACTAAAAAATTCAAATAGAAGAACACATATGAACTGAACAATAGTGACGAACAATACAAGGTGTGTATGTGGGTTTATTTTTAAGATCAATGCATGAATATTATAAGCATCACACTGGCGATAACAAGGAAAAATAAATACATTGCTAGTATAATATTTAAACGTTCTTTTTCTCCTCAATAAGGTGAATAATCAAAATGTAAATAAGGTAATCAAGATGCAAAAAAAAAGACTTAAATGTTATAAGGTGACACAGCTACTTATATTTACATTGCTGTGCTATACATTTACATTAATAACTCTTAGTAAACTTGTTTCTATTTCTTTAATCTATCTAGAAAATACTGTAATGAAGTATCAATTTTTCAAAATCTATGATACATCTAATACAGGGTTCAGATGGAATTTTTTTTTCCAGATGTAAATTTAGCCTTACTAACTCATATCAGTATCCAAGAAAATGGCATAAATACATAAATAAGTATCTATCATAAAAATTTGAAAAAGAAAAAATAAAACAAGGAAACAGAACTACTAAAGATAAAAGCAGAATTTAATAAGTCAAACAAAAAAGCAAGAAAATTTTGGGATTTATCAAAGTAGATGGACTGTTAATTAGCATAATTAAAGATTGATAAAATCTCAGTCTTCACATATGTTTAGGTAATTTCCATAATGAAAATATTTTTCTTTACTTATTTTGCATATTTGTTTTTTTTTATTATAAAGAGTATGTTGATAGGGGAATTTTACCAAAACTTTAAAAAGCAGAAAATCCCAACAGTATTTAAATTGCTGGGCATAAAGAATAAAGACCAAAACCAAAAAGTCTGACTACAATACAATTGCTGTAAGGTATGAGCTGTCACAAGCAAGGTTAAAGGATAAATTGGGAAAAATCCTGTATCTTATGTCAAAAAAGGATAACCTTAGGAAAAAGTATGCAAATAATAGAGAAACATACCCTTCTAGAAAATGGGCAAAATATATGAATAGATGATTTACAACAGAAAAAAATATTTTAAAAGTTCTTAAACAGGGTCCTCCTTCCCTGGTGTCACAATGGTTCGAAGCACAGCACTATGAAGCTGTCTGTAGCCACTGCAGCACAAGTCTGATTCCCAGCCAGGAAGGAGACCCACATGGTGTGGCAGACCTCTTCTGACCCACCCACTGCTCCCCTCTGCAGTGTACTTCATTGATCTGTCTGCCCTGTGCCCCACTCTTTGAGTCTTCTCATCCCCCCCCCCCCGCCTGCCTCCCCTCCTTTTTCGCCCCCCCACCTCTGTACACCACTTCTATATGCATAAATAAATCTTTAGAAAAAAAAGTTCTTATACATCCTTTTTTGCTTAATACATTTGACATGGAATATTGATTTCTTTCATTTTTGATGATTTCTGACAAAAGAACATACAGTAAATTGATAATCTGAGGAGATTAGGTTAAATAACATGATGTGCATAATGAATTATATAAGGGAGAGATGGAAAGCAGAGACCTGTTGCAACATTTTGTGTTCTAGGTATGGGGTAATAAATACCTAAAGTAGATGGTGCCAGTGGGTGAATGTATGATATCATGCTTAAAACTAGTAAAATAAGCATTAAAAATACATGACTACAGTAATTATACACACAGGACATATCAGATTCCACTTGGCTAGGTTACTGAAGAATAAAGGCAAATAGCTAATAACTCCTAAGGGATCATAAATTAGAAAAATGTTGCAATTACAACAGAATTTCTTATAGACACTATTAAATGTCTTGAAATTTGAAGTTCAAGTTCAAATAACTTAAGTTAGAGTTAATATTTTGATACTCTGTGAAAGCATATCTAGTTTTATGATAGATATTCCTAATAGTTTTTATGCTTAAAACTTTTCACATTATATGAATTAATAAAAAAGATAAATATTTAAAAAATTCATAATTCCATCATCCAACAATTTCTAATATAAACATGTTTTTTACACACTGTACAAATTTATTCCTAGGCATCTTTATATTCACAATTGAATATAATTTAATGGCTTTATACATTATCTTGATATTTTACTCCTAACATATTTTTTTGTCAGTGAATGTATGTATTTCTAAACTCTGGCTCAGAAGGGCATTATATGCCCCTGTACTGAAGTATATATTTCCAATGATCCCACTCTAGCTGTAAGATAGTTTGTAATATTACCAAGTTGCTTAGTATTAATATATTTGTAAAATAACCTTCCCTTACAATACCTTTTAAACCTTTTAAAAGTTTTTCCTTATACCTCTGATCTTAACTTTTTGTCAAAGCCAAATATATTTTTAAAGACATTCATTTCTATTCAATTTTGATCAAGTTTGCTTATGCTTAAATTTCAGAAAGTTACACCTATTAAAATTATAAATTTCACATTATAAGAATTAGGAACATAAAGCAGTAGATTACTGCAGTGAATCACCAGAAGCCTGAGCATTACCACTGTGTTTACCTGAAGTGGGAGACTTGCAGCGCTCAAGTTCCAGGGGAACTGGACTGTCGTTCAGCTCAGTTAAGCCTGGAAATGAAAAATGACAAAAATTGAGAGAAATTCTGCTAGATGATTCTAACTTCCTAAAATCTATAATTTTGAATTTTTCCCCCTCTGTGAAAACTGCTTTCCCATGCTTTAGTTAAAATAATTATTCTCAGTTTGTTTTTACAAGTGGTACAGGAAAACAAAAGCAAAAATGGATAAAAAGTAAATAAACATGATATTGAAAAGATGTAAAATTTTTCTTTTTTTCATATGAATTATCCCATAAGTCACCAAGTTTCAGTGAAGACAGAAAAAAGAATAAGAATTAGTCTTTTTTACAAAAGACTTACTCAAATCTTCTTCTTTCTAAAGAAGTGGTTATTGCCTCTTAAGTATTTTAAAATATTCTGAGATACTATTTTCTTTATAAAGATGCAAGATTGTGCAGTACATTGTGTATTTCTTATTACAAACCCTATATTTTTCTCTTTCTAGTATTTATATTTTATTCCCACTTATTTCTTTTAAAGATTTATTTGTGCACACAGAACTGGGGTACAGATCGGAGGTGCAGAGCTGGTGAGACAGAGTGGGAAGCAGAATAGGCAGATGGACGAGGTACACTGCTGAGGGGAGCAGCGGGCAGATCAAGAGAGGTCTGACATGCCATGTGGATCACCTCTGGAGCAGGCAGGAATCATGGAAGTGGCTTAAGCTTCTTAGTGCTGTGCTTTAACCCTCTGCGCCACCAGGGAAGGGCCCTATGCTCACTTTAAAAAAAAAATTATTTATTACATACAGAATTGGGTTACAAGTCAGAGGTATAGGGGGTGAGAGGATTCACCAGAGACAGAGTAGGGAGCAGAACTGGCAGGTTGATGAAGTACCCTGCTGAGGGGAGCAGCAGACGAGACAGGAGAGGTCTGCTGCTCCATGTGGGTCTCCTGGCATGAAATGCATATGGGAGCTTTATTACAACTATAAAATAAAAAAATTTGGTAGTACAAGAACTAAGCATCAGTTATCTGGAAATTATCACTTTTTATATTTCCTTAATTGTCTACTAGATCTGTTTATACTAGTTTCTTCTGAATTTATCTACTTTCCTGTTTAACATAGATCTAAAAATAATAAAACTACTTCTGTGTTGTCAATTTACAGTGTCCAAATCCTAAATAAAATATTTTTATATCATTATTTGATCCTATAAGATTATTTAAAACATCACAATTTAAAATATGTATATTTTGATTAAATAATATTTTATCCTAAAGGAAAATTTGGGAGACATAAGAAAGGAAAAGGCGATAAAAAAACATTATCATAATTTTGGCTTATATCCTTTATACTGTGATTAATTTTAATACATTTAAAATAGTTGATTGTTCTAATTTCCCCACCATAACATGATAAATAGTTCTCTCATTTCATTAAAATATATCCTACATTTTACTTAGTATTCCTCTACTATGGTTTTCCAGTCTCTACCACTCTAAATGAAGCTGCATTAAATATCTGAGTCTGTTTTGGGGGTGGGTAGGTGGGTGGGTGTGAATATGAAAGATTCTCATTGTCTTTTTACTATGGCATGGTGTCTCCCTAATCTGTCCTTTCAACAAAAGACTGGATAGAATAGTGGTATTTCCTACCTTTTTTTTAAATGTAAAGTATGGAGTTTATTTAGTACTAGGCAATATACTGAACATTTTTAACCAGTCTTATTCTGGGTAATTTTCCTGGTTTGAAGAATAATGTCACTCTGACTTATGTAATAGAACTTAATCTCTGCCCCTCACTGTAATAACCAATTAAAATTTATTTATTGATGTAACATTGGTTTATAACATTATGTAGAGCTCAAGTTTAAGCACTGCAAATCAATATCTATCTATACTATATATTATATTCACTCCTAAAAGTCCAGTTTTCTCCTTTCACCATACAATTGACCCCTTTTATGCAATTTCCACCTCATTACTGCTTCCCTCTAGTCACCACTATTCTGTACTTACAGTCTAAGAGTTTTGTTTTTGTTTGGTTTGTCCATTAGTTTTATTTCTTTGTATCTTCTACAAAGGGGTGAAACCAAACATACAGTATCTGTTTTCTTCTGTCTTATTTTGTTTAGCAGAGTATCCTCTAGGTCCAACTTGTTGCCAAATGGCAGAATTTTCTTTCTTTTAAATAGAGGAGTGTTAATCTCATTGTATGTATATCAATCATTGGTCATTGGATATTTATCCATTCTTGGTCGTGAAGAATACTGTAATGAACATTGAGGTATACATAGTTTCTTCCAATTAGTGTTTTCAGTTCTTCTAGTAAAAACCCAGAAGTTGGACAACTGAATTATATGGCATTTCTATTTTTAAGTTTTTGAGTTATCATAACTATTTTTCATAACAGCTGTACCATTTTATAATCCCACCAACACTGTACAAGGATTCCCTTCTCTCTACTTCTTGAACACTTGTTGATTCTTGTTTTTTAGATAACAGTCACACAGATGTGAGGCATCTCATTGTAATTTTGATTTGTAGTTCTCTAGTAAGAGATGTTGAATCTCTTTTCAATTCCTTGTTGAGCATCTGTACTTCTTTATTCATAGCTCTCTCCATTCTTTTTTTAAAGATGTATTTATTTATGCATACAGAACTAGAGTACAGGCCCTAGTTGTGGGAGGTGAGAGGATTCACCAGAGACAGAGTGGGGAGCAGAACAGGCAGATTGTCTAAGTACACTGCTGAGGAGAGCAGTGGGCAGGTGGGCGGTTCAGGAGAGGTCTGCCATGCTATGTAGGTCACCTCCCTGGCCGTGGATCAAACTCCTGCTGCAGTGGCTGCGATAGCTTTGTAGTGCTGTGCTTTAACCTGTTGTACCACCAGGGAAGGCTCTCTGTTCATTCTTTTTGTTGCTACTGGGGTTCTATGAGTTCTTTATAACTTTTGGAATTAATTCCTTGTTGGATATATGATGCACAAATATCTTCTCCATTCAGTAGTAGGCCTTTTTGTTTTGATGATAGCTTCTTTTACAATACAGAAGTATTTCAGTTCATCAAGTCCCATTTGCTTATTTTTGCTTTTGTTTCCCTTGCAATTGAAATCGAATTGCCAAAGAAATCTAAAGTTGATCAAGGTATATATCGCTTATTTTTCATCTATATATTTTTTTCACTTCAGGTCTTAAAGTTTCTAGTTCATTTTGACTTAATTTATGTGTATAGTCTTAGATAGTATACTGGTGTAGTTTCATTTTTTTTTTCCATGAATGACTGTTAATCTGCTCTACAGTTACCAATAACTTCAAAACAGAACTGAGTAAACTCACAAGCTTCTCTTACAAATATTCTGATAGAGAAGTCTTAAAACTGAAATGTCAAAACCACCATAAATGTCAGTCTGTAATATTAGTTTTTAATTCCATGATCTTCTTAACAGAAGTTTATTCTGAGAGTATAAAAATACATGTTATTTGAAAACATCTATTTACTTAAAGATTTTGGGAAACTATTGTCAAAATGAACACAAAACGTTTGTATTTGAATGTAGATTTTATTGAAGTGTAAGAAACAAAATATGTAAAAACAGTATGTGTGCATATATAACCTAGTGAATTTTTTCCCAGGTAGCTAGTACCAGAAGAAATACATAAATTCTAAAACTAATACATCAGACTTGAATGACTCACTCAAGGCAGACAACTCTTAGTTGTGTAATCAGTGTTCCTGAAACTTGTATAATTATTAGGAACATGTAATTTAAAAAAGTGGAAAATAGAGTGTTATTAATTACTACTCTCAGTGAGTAGGTATCATAATCACAGCTAGGTGAATGCTCTGTTGTTTTGACAAAGCTCTCGGACATACATTACTAAATATGCTAGATAAATTTGGACGGAAGTCAAAGTTGAGAGACTTGTTCAAAACCCAGGAGTGATCTTAGTTTTCTCTCTGTGGTTCTTTCTAGTGAACCAATTCACCTATGGTTGGTTAGCTGTTAGCTCTAAATTAAGAGGAATTATTTTTCTCTCATTTGATTTCTACCAAAAATTATTTGAATTTCTGAAAATATTTTCAAATAAAGCTAGCTCCTTTGGAAAGAACTTCTTCAGAGTTCTGTTCTTATTCTTCCCTTGGGCAAAAACCTCTGCCTGTTCTGGCATTAATGAAACTTCTGTCCTGAGCAAGGTAGGGGTAATAATCAAGACCTCAACATTTTTGGCATGCCATGCCTAGGGTAAAGCTCTGTTCTGTAAATGCATGATTAGCAAGAAGTAGCCTCTGACCGCTTAGCCACACTCACCAGAAACTGGCCTCTTTCACTGGAGCTGAAAGATACCAAAAGCTCTGATCACCTGGAGACCGGAAAGGGATAGCGCAAGTTGTGGCTTAGTGCCAAACACTCTAAATTTTACCAAGTTTTAGTAGACTTTCTTGAATAAATCTTTATTAGTGCTCTATATCTGCTTACGTTAATTTCCAGAGATTTTAATGGTTAGTGTTTTAAAATTTGTTATCACTACTGATACTTTTTTTCTGGAGAATGCCATTGTTTTCCCTCATGTTGCCAACCTGGAAGTCTGGCCTGTATATGGCAGTTTAAAAATAAATGTCTCAATTGTTTGCTGCTATTACATAGACATACAATGGATTTATGTATTCCTTAGTATTGGGAAGTTCACATAATGTTTTTGTAGCTTTTTTAAAAAAATAGATTTTTGGGTTTTGTACATATACCATAATATCACTGCAAATAAGGTTTAAAATTTTTCTTTAAAAAAAAAAAGATTTATTTATCCATACAGAACTTGGGTACAGGCCATAGGTGTAGGGGCAGTGAGAGGATTCACCAGAGACAGAGTGGGGAGCAGAGCAGGCTGACTGACAAAGTACACTGCTGAGGGGAGCAGCGGGTGGGTCAGAAGAGGTCTGCAGCAACATGTGGGTTACCTCCAGGGCTGGGGATCGAACTCATGCTGCAGTGGCTTTAGCTTCTTAGTGCTGTGCTTTAACCTGCTGCACCACCAGGGAGGGCCCT